CAGTTTTTCACAAGTCAGGATTATGTTGGCTATTGGTCTGTCATATATAGCTTTTATTATTTTGAGATATGTTCTTTCTATTTTTAGCTTCTCCAGAGCTTTTAATATGAATACATGTTGGATTTTTTGAAGGCTTTTTCTATATCTATTGAGATGATCATGGGGTTCTAGTCTTTGGTTCTGTTAATGTAATGTATTAAGTTTATTGATTTATATATGGTAAACCAGCCTTGTATGTCTGAGATAAAATCCACTTAGTCATAATTGTAATTTTTTTGATTAATTGCTAAATTCTCTTGGCAAGTATTTATTGAAGACCTTTGAGTCTGTGTTCATCAGAAGGATTGGTGTATAGTTCCTCTTTGTTGTTGTTGTTGTTGTTGGATTCCCTACCTGGTTTTGGGATGAGTGTGATGTTGCTTCTTAAAATGAGTTTGGAATTGATTCTTCTGTTTCTATTTCACAGAAAAGTATAAGGAGTATTGGTATTAGTTCAACTTTAAACCATTTGGGTGATTAATAAGAAGCACTTCAACACAGGAGATCCTGTTGATTCAGATCACTGTAATTATTGCATGCAAACAGGCTGTAGGAAAATGAGTATACACTCCTGCGTTCTCAATTTCAATTTCATTTGTTGGCTTTCCCCAAAGTGAGAAGCAGTGATTCTCTTCTCTTTACTTTTTCCTCACAATTATGTCTATTGTGATAATTCTTTGTTCATTCTGGGGCCTAAATTGTCTTGATTCATTCATTTAGTTATTTCTCATCACCTTGGCAACAATTACAGAACATTCATTCTACAAAAATTGATTAATCATCTATGATATGTAAAGCACTGAACTTCGGAATCATGGAAAAATACAGGGTGCTGTGGAAACAAAGGAGAAGTGAAAGGTTGATGAGAGAGATGTTTAGAAAACTATTTGGAGTAAAATGTTAGTGAAAGCACAAATCTCAGAAAAACTCCTTTGGTAGTACTTGCCAACATTTTATTTGGTTAATGAAAGAACTAGTAGATACATAAGAATTCTGTTTCTAAGAAAATTTGAAAAAAACAAGGACTCATAATCAGCTGGAGAAAAGTTGCCAAATGAAATATAATGAGTTACATTCAGTTGTGACTAATGTTTTATTGTAGTTTTGGGGTTCACTACAAGCTTTCTTCCCCCAAAGTAAGTCTAATCTTAGGAATTTCCAGCAAACTGACCTCTAACTTTGTAAGATGAAAACTTCTGGACTACAATTTGCTGTGGATAGTTAGTTCAAAGTTATAGACTTTAATATAGTCCAGTGACTGACATTTCAGCTTATTAGCAAATGAGATATACTGCAGTAGCATTTAAGTATTTTTTCTTTCAAGCTTTGCAATGTTTTTCTATAATTTAGCCTTTTGGTTAACCTTGGACAATTTCTAAAGTATATCTATTTTTTCTTATCTAAAAAAAAGGATGCCTCACAGTCCAGACTGAGACTAAAAAGATGGAAAACAATGTAGCAAGCAAGTGAAAAGCTGAAGCAAGCAGAAATAACTATACTTACTGATTGGCAGATACTCTACAACTTGAGCCATTACTCCCAGCCCAAAATATATATACAAAAGTAGTCTTCAAGCAAAATTTATCCAGAAGATATGAAGGTCAATACATATTAATAACATATTAATAAAGGGAACAGTTCATCAGTATGATATAGTAATAGTAAACTTATGTGCATGAGATGTTGGTGCAAGTAATTTCATAAACATTGCTGTACCAAAATACCTAAGATAGATCACAACATAACAATAGTGACTTTAATATTCTACTCTCACTGATAGATAACTCATCCAAAAACATTCAACAAATATGCCTCAGAGTTAAGCCACATTAATCATGAAATAAACTTAAACACCTACAAAGTATTCATCCAATAGCCACAGAAGTTTTTATTTGCAGTAGCTCATAGAACAGTCTAAAATAAAAATCACATTTTAGGCGTTAAAAAGGTTTTAACAACTACAGACAAATCAAAATAATTTCTTTTTTAGAATGTACATATTCTGTTTTATTAGTATATATTTTTATTGTAAAGATACTGTACAGAGGGGTTACAGTTACATGAGTAAGGTAATGAGTACATTTCCTATTAAGCATTGTTAGCTCCTCCTTTGTTTTACCCCTTCCCTCCCCTCAAAATAATTTTTGAACTTAGCAGATCACAACAGAGTAAAATTAAAAAATACCTACAGAAAGATATGCAGATGAACAACTATGGAATGACACAAGGGGAGAAATTTTTAAAATTGAAAAACCCCTAGAATCATATGAAAGTGAAAATGTAACTTACCAGAAGTTTTGGGACACAAGACAGTGATAAGAGGTAACTTTATAGGTATGAGTGTCTACATTAAAATTTCAAAAAGATCTTAAATAACCTAATGATGCATTTCAGGGTCTTAGAAAATGAAAAATGCCAAACCCTAAATGAAAAATGGGAAGATGATGGTATTCAGGACAGAAATTAATGAAATGGAAACTAGTAGAGCAATACAAATAATCAATGAAACAATATATGGTATTTGAAAAGATTAACAAAATTGAGAAATTCTTGTAGACTAACCAAAAGAAAAGGAAAACCCAAATTAATAAATTAGACCCAAAAACATAAGAATTATAATGCTGAATGAAGAACTTAAGAAAGGCAATAGAAAAAGAAGATATTTCCCATTTTTATGGATCAGCAGAATTGATATTATGAAAATGGCTGTATTAACAAGAGATCTACATATTCAATGCAATCCCCATAATATGTTTAATATCATTTTTCACATAAATAGAAAAGCAAATTCTAAAATTCTTAGGGAAGTAAAAAGACTTTGTATTACAGCTAAAGCAACTTTTAGCAGATGACAGCAATTATAGAGTTATCACAATACACTTCAAATTATACTATACAGCCATAGCAACAAAAATGCCATGGTACCAGCATAGAAACCTGCATAGAATAGGATAGAATTGAAAGAGTTAGGGACTGGGAATATGGCTTAGTGGTAGAGTGCTTGCCTAGCATGCATGAAGCCCTGGGTTTGATTCCTCAGTACTACATAAACAGAAAAAGCCAGACATGGCACTGTGGCTCAAGTGGTAGAGTGCTAACCTTGAGCAGAAACTCAGGGACAGTGCCCAGGTCCTGATTCCAAGCCCCAGGGCTGGCAAAAAAGACAGAAATAAATCCACACAGTTACAACCATCTGATATTTTTTGATTTTTAATTGTCAAGGTAATGTTCAGAGGAGTTACATAAATAAGGTAATAAGTACATTTCTTGTCAAACATGTTACCCCTAACATCCACTCCCCAAGTTGCACAGATCGTTTCCCACATACTGTTTTACATATATTGCTGTTGCATTGGTTTTCCCCTTGTCTGTTGTCTCACCATTCTGTTGTTCCCCTTCCCTTCCCTAATTCAAATAAACATATGTACAATACTAGGGTACTAGAATCAAATACAGTGACAACAGGGGTTACACCATAGGGGAAAGAATATACAAAGGAAACAAAAAATCACATAGTACATTAGCAAAGAAAAACCTCTTGTGTCCATGACTTGGAGTTTATTTTGCTTAGCGTCATCTTATATGGTTATATGTACATAGCTGTTGAGCTATTCTGCTCATCTGTTAAGATTATTCTAGATGTATACTAATTATTGAAAATAAGGGAAACCGGGCTGGGAAGGTGGCTCAGTGGTAGAGAGCTTGCCTTGCATGCTCACGGCCCTGGGTTCGATTCCTCAGCACCACATAAGCAAAAAGAAAAAAGCCGGAAG